GTTGGTGAACCAGGCGAGGCAGTCATTTGAGAAACCAAGGCTATTTAGTCTGCCAATAAGAATGCGGTGGTTGACAGAGTCAAAAGCCTTGGCCAGGTCGATGAAGACGGCTGCACAGTACTGTCTATTATCGATCGCGGTTATAATATCGTTTAGGACCTTGAGCGTGGCTGAAGTGCACCCATGACCAGCTCGGAAACCGGATTGCATAGCGGAGAAGGTACGGTGGGATTCGAAATGGTTGGTGATCTGTTTGTTAACTTGGCTTTCAAATACTTTCGAAAGGCAGGGCAGGATGGATATAGGTCTGTAACAGTTTGGATCTAGTGTGTCACCCCCTTTGAAGAGGGGGATGACCGCGGCAGCTTTCGAATCTCTGGGGATCTCAGACGTTACGAAAGAGAGGTTGAACAGGCTAGTAATAGGGGTTGCGACAATTTCGGCGGGTAGTTTTAGAAAGAACGGGTCCAGATTGTCTAGCCCAGCTGATTTGTAGGGGTCCAGATTTTGCAGCTCTTTCAGAACATCAGCTGTCTGAATTTATGTGAAGGAGAAGCGGGGGGGGCATGGGCAAGTTGCAGCGGAGGGTGCAGAGTTGGTGGCCGGGGTAGTGGTAGCCAGGTGGAAAGCATGGCCAGCCGTAGCAAAATGCTTGTTGAAATTCTCGATTATTGTAGATTTATCGGTGGTGATAGTGTTTCCTAGCCTCAGTGCAGTGGGCAGCTGGGAGGAAGTGCTCTTATTCTCCATGGACTTTACAGTGTCCCAAAACTTTTTGGAGTTAGTGCTACAGGATGCAAATTTCTGTTTGAAAAAGTTAGCCTTTGCTTTCCTGACTGCTTGTGTATATTGGTTCCTAACTTCCCTGAAAAGTTGCATATCGCGGGGGCTATTTAATGCTAATGCAGTACGCCACAGGATGTTTTTGTGCTGGTCAAGGGCAGTCAAGTCTGAGGAGAACCAGGGGCTATATCTGTTCTTAGTTCTGTATTTTTTGAATGGGGCATGTTTATTTAAGATTGAGAGGAAATTACTTTTAAAGAACAACCAGGCATCCTCTACTGACGGAATGAGATCTATATCCATCCAGGATACCTGGGCCAGGTCAATTAGGAAGGCCTGCTCGCTAAAGTGTTTTAGGGAGCGTTTGACAGTGATGAGGGGTGGTCGTTTGACCGCGGACCCATTACGGACGCAGGCAATAAGGCAGTGATCGCTGAGATCCTGGTTGAAGACAGCGGAGGTGTATTTAGAGGGTAAGTTAGTCAGGATGATATCTATGAGGGTACCCATGTTTACGGATTTAGGGTTGTACCTGGTAGGTTCGTTGATAATTTGTGTGAGATTGAGGGCATCTAGTTTGGATTGTAGGATGGCCGGGGTGTTAAGCATATCCCAATTTAGGTCACCAAGCAGTACGAACTCTGAGGATAAATGGGGGGCAATCAATTCACATATGGTATCCAGGGCACAGCTGGGGGCTGAGGGGGGTCTGTAGCAAGCGGCAACAGTGAGAGACTTATTTCTGGAAAGGTGGATATTTAGAAGTAGAAGCTCAAACTGTTTGGGCACAGACCTGGATAGTATGATAGAGCTCTGCAGGCTATCTCTACAGTAGATTGCAACTCCACCCCCTTTGGCAGTTCTATCTAGACGGAAAATGTTATAGTTGGGGATGGAAATTTCAGAATTTTTGGTGGCCTTCCTAAGCCAGGATTCAGACACTGCTAGAACATCAGGGTTGGCGGAGTGTGCTAACGCAGTGAATAACTCAAACTTAGGAAGTAGACTTCTGATATTTACGTGCAAGAAACCAAGACTTTTGCGATTACAGAAGTCAGCAAATGATAGCACCTGGGGAGTAGGAGTGATACTGAGGGCTGCAGGGCCTGGGTTAGCCTCTACATCACCAGAGGAACAGAGGAGGACTAGAATAAGGATACGGCTAAAGGCTTTAAGAACTGGTCTTCTAGTGCGTTGGGTACATAGAATAAAGGGGGCAGATTTCCGGGCGTTGTAGAAAAGATTCAGGGCATTATGTACAGACAAGGATATGGAAGGATATGAGTAAAGTGGAGGTAAACCTAAGCGTTGGGTAACAATGAAAGAGATAGCATCACTGGAGGCACCAATTGAGTCGGTCTCCGCGTGTATGGGGGGTGGGACAAAGGAGCTATCTAAGGCAGGTTTAGCTGGGCTGGGGGATCTACAGTGAAATAGTACAATTAGAAATAACCGAAACAACAATAAGCTAACCATATTGACAAGGGAGAGAGGCATAAAGCAATCAAGGTGTAATTTGAGAGAGCTAAGACAACAGCTGGTAATGACGACACAGTTTGGGCTGAGGCTAAACATAAACAGGATGCAGTACCGTAAAAGGGAACAGTCCAGCAGACATCAGCTGTATAGCTGAGTTATCATAAGGTCCGGTGAACAGCAATAGGATAGTTTGGAGGTAGTTCGGGGGCTGCTAGCGTGTGCTAGCAGGCCGGGGCTAGCAGATGGAATCTTCGTGGTCAACGTCGTAACGGGAAGCCTGTTGTAAAATCTACCTCATCAGACGATTTCGTCGGCAGACCAGTCGTGTAGGATCGGCTGGGCTCTGTGTCAACACTAGGTGGTCCCGTCCAGTTGACAGAGAGGTAGATAGCCGGGAGATGGGAGATGGGAGATGGGCCTAGCTCAGGATGATTAGCCAGACCTCAACGTCCATTTCGTTGCAGCTAGCTGGTAGCGATGAATCCGGAGTTAAAGGTCCAGTGATTCCGGCAGAAAAACTGATATGTTCTGGGTCGATATCGCGCTGTGCAGACAGTGCAGACTGGCCGAATAATAGTCCAGACTAGAGCTGGCTGGTAGGTGGTGCAGGCCACGGACAATGGTGAAAAACCACTAACGGTAGCTGATAGCAAGTAGCTAGTTAGCTGGCTACTCCCATCCGGTAGACCTAGAGGTAGATAGCCGGGATATGAGCCTGGCTCTAGGCTAGCTCGAGGCTAACTGGTGCTTGCATCGGGGGCAGTGGTGATTAACCAAACAGCAACATCCATTCGGTTGCGGCTAGCTAGTTGCGATCCGGTGATTAATGTCCAGTGATTAATTTATTTCGGCAGAAAATCCAATGTTCTGGGTGAAATAGCAACTGTGGCTAATAGCAAGTAGCTAGTTAGCTGGCTAGCTAGTTTCAACTGGAGATTCTAGATAAAAGGTAAGTCAATAATAAAATCCGTTCCACATTGAGTGAGGCAGGTTGCAGGAAAGTATATTTTGTAGAAGGATGAAAAGTCTGATAGGAAAATATGTACGAAAAATACAAAAAAACAGGGTATTTACAGGCTATTTACAGACACACGACAAAAACAGGACTGCACTACTACGCCATCTTGGAACAGGAAATCTGGAGCATCAGCAATTGTGGGTTCGATTACAGGCTCAAAATGGCCAGAAACAAATAGCTTTCTTCTGAGAAATGAAGGCTATTCCATGCGAGAAATTGCAAAGAAACTGAAGATCTCGTACAACACTGTGTACTACTCCCTTCACAGAGTGGGAGGCCCTGGTGCACAACTGAGCAAGAGGACAAATACATTAAATGAAGGGGCGACTCCGGGATGCTCACCTTCTAGGCAGAGTTGCAAAGAAAAAGCCATATCTCAGACTGCCCATCTTAATCTTTTCTTTTTATTGGCCAGTCTGAGATATGGATTTTTCTTTGCAACTCTGCCTAGAAGGTGGCATCCCGGAGTCGCCCCTTCATTGTTGACGTTGAGACTGGTGTTTTGCGGGTACTATTTAATGAAGCTGCCAGTCTTCCAGCTGATGGCAAAACTCATGTCGCACTGCATTATTTCTGCCTCATGCACCAATGTTACTCCCATGACCAGAGAATGTAAAATATTCCTTGATATAAAAAAAGCACAAGCCACTAATAACAACAACTCTAGCTTATCAGAATCCTTTGTTATACTCATTAATTGCAGCTGCAGTGCTGGCTGTAGCGTGAGTGGAAGTAGGGAGAATGCGCATTTTATAAAAGTGTTAACAGTGCTGAATAACAACTTAAACATGAACTTACTTGTAAAAACAGCAGCTCTTTGCTATATTTGTTGAGTCTCTCTCTAGTCATGGTTTTAAACTTTTTGAAATCTCACAGTATCAACTTTACTGTGCGTTCGAGGCTTCTTTTTACGGTCTATGGCTCGAGGAAACTGTGCAGACACAGTGATCTGAGCTATCTGATTGGCCAGCGGTAGCCCTATAGGTGCACTTGATTTGCTCTCTGGGCCTGCCAGGTAGTCGGAGTTCTACATTCAGACATTAAAATGGTTCAAAATGGGAACACTTTGCCTTCCTGGCACTAGGGCTGCTGAATCAAGTGCACCTACCGCCAACATTTTTTTTTTACAGAAATGTTTGGTGATCGACAAGGAATGACTTGGTGACCACTGCTTTAGACCATATAAATATAATCTGGTCTGAAGGATTGAAGGGCTTTGTCCATGCTAGAAATTGCATTTCTATGCTTTACACTCTTCCTCCATAGGACTGATTTTAAAATATCCCTGCTGAATATTTCAGGCAGAGCAACTGTGAGCAGTGGGCTGTGACATAGGATCAGTCTGGTGACCGGCTGGGAAAGGCCAACGGTAGCAGGCTACTGTCTGAGCCTTGTCAACCCTTCCGCCATGGCGATGGCAAATGCTACGCTAAACAGACTTGCTGTGACTGAAAACTCTGGTTGCACGCTCTAATTCTATGGATAATGCTAACTGTGTAAGTGCTTGTACTCACTATCAGCACCATTGAACCAAATAACATCGGAATGGCTAATGCTAACCTCAAAATACCATGTTTACGTGAGGTATAAGGGTGGCTAATGCTAAGCTAATTGGCTAACTGCACTTGTATTCCTTTGCATGGCACTGTAATGACTAATGCTCAAACTATAAAACAATACTGCTCTCTTCTCTACCCACTATCCGCACACAAGCTAATCAGTATGCTGCTTCACCAACCTCGGTTTGCACCATGTTAACCCTTTGTGAGCGCAGTTCCCGGATGCAGTTGAAGATGTCCACCACTCCCTCGTTCTCGGCCATATCCAGCATGATGTCCACAGCTATGAAACAGCCTGTCCTTCCAGCCCCGGCACTGGAAAGAGAAAGGGGGAGGGAGAGAGAAGACAGAGAGAGAGACAGAGAAACAGAGAGAGAGAGAGAGAGAGAGAGAGAGAGAGAGAGAGAGAGAGAGAGAGAGAGAGAGAGAGAGAGAGAGAGAGAGAGAGAAACCATTTAATTAATGTTTCCAGTATGTTCCGTACAGTACAGACTGTGCAGTTTGTTATCTGTCCTCCGTATCGACCTGCCACAGTTAGCGACGGTGGCGACACATGAAGAAACATGCTCCAGCCCTATAATAAACAGGCCGAGGGTTATATTGAACCCCGCTGCACACCCACAGTTATCCAAACGAGGCAGGACGGCCTTACAGCGCTGACAAACAGCGCACTCCATCAGGCCCTGTGAGTTACAGGTAGGGGTTAGAGCCATTTCCCCTAACCCTGGTGTTAGGTGTTAAGGAAATAAACCCAGCAGAGTGGCTGAGTGGAAGGGAGGGAGGGAGCAAGGGACATAATGGTGGAGAAGAGGTAGAGGAGAGGTAGGAGAGGGGGGCTGCTCAGCCATCACTCACTCGGCAGCATCCTGACAGGTCCCAGCTTCGGAGCTCAGGAGCCGGGGGCCGCTCAGTGGCTCGGCAGCCCGGCAGATTGCCTGTCAGCCGCCAGTGATTAATGGCGAGCGCAGCGAACAACTGGGTCCTGGCAGGGGGATAACGGCCAAGGAGTGCCCCAGGAAATTAGAAATTACTCCACAGTCTGTCTGTGGGGCCTTCGCTCTGCGGGCCAAAGCTCATCCTGTTGGACTTCATCATTCCGTCTATCGTTCAGTTCAGTGGGGGAATGGCTGCCAACCTATAGGCAGCTCCATGGGACATTCGTTGTCAATGCTCAATGGGGGAATTCGGTTGGGGAGCAATCGGGAGGTTGGACGTCAAAAGCCAGGCTGATTTGTTTAGGAGAACGTGAACCGACCACGGTTTGGGTTGTGGAAAAGCAACGACATACTGAATGAGAGATACACAGAGGTAAAATATAGTGGACTGCTATGGGGACGCAAATGCCATGCCTCTTAGGAAGAAAAGAGAAGGAGGGACAAACAGACAGACAGACAGAGACAGATAAAGTGGATGTCACTCTCCCGCGACAGGTGTGAAAGCTCCCTTTTTCCCAGGTGGTTCGTAAAGGTTAATGTCATGGATCCAATTTATGAGTGGGCAAAGATAAGAAGGGTTAGGGGATAAGGTGGCGGTATTAACCTTTGCCATAGTCTCTCCCAATCTCGTCCTTGAGGTATTAGAGGGAGCAAGGCGCCTTATGCTTCATGAGAGCAAAAAGACCAGTGCTTGGCACTTCAGCTAATCCACTCTGAAAATGTCTTAGTCACATCTGCTTTGTTTTGAGAGACCCGAGCCAAATGTAAAATTGCATTGTGCCATTTAGCAGCCTCTCCCTGTCACATCTCATTGTGCACGCTCACTCACTCCCTCCCTCCGTCCACTTCCCTCTTCTCCACTCCCCCTTGCCTCCCCACACCGCCTGTCTGAGCTCAATGCCTCTGTTTCAAGGGGTGGGTGTTTGAGTGGGCTGGGGAGGGGTAGATAAGAGACAGAGTAAGAGAGAGAGAGGCCTTGGTCTCCCATCGCTCTCGCTCATTCATTTTCCCCACTAAAAATGTATGTGAAGGCTCCCAGCTACATTTTATTCGTTTAGCAGACGCTCTTATCCAGAGCATCTTACAGGAGCAGTTAGTTATAATGCCTTGCTCAAGGACACATTTTTCACAAAGGCAGCTCAGGGATTTGAACCAGCAACCTTTTGGTTACCGGCCCAACGCTCTTAGCTGCTAGGCTACCTGCCGCTAGCTACTGTTGTTATTTATGTGGGAATCTGGGGAGTGCAGGGACCTGTGGTGTAGCAGGAAGTGGCAGTCAAATAGAGTGTGTAGGTACAGTATTTGGGTGTTACCGGAGGCAGTGAGTATAGTAATATCAGTCAGCCACCTTATTATTTCTTGCCCTATAGTCCCTGAATGAACTCTGCCATCTGATTGATCTCAACAGCAAATTACTGAGCAGTCATGTGTAACAGAGTCTGTTCAAAACCACAGTACCGTGATGGGGAAATGTGTCTGAGACCTAAAGACTTAAGTTAGGTTGTTTGGACTGGGTCATTGACATACTGAATGAATATGTTCAACTTATCTGATGAAATAAGGTATAAATAAATACATAGACAAAAGCCCTGAGTGACAAATATGTCATCCGAGTAGTCCTGTGTTATGTCCCACAATCCCCCTCAGCATGGACAGTACGTACCTGCAGTGGGCCACAATGGGGCCAGCGTCGGGCGGGTTGAGGAACTTGACCTGGCGGACGAAGCCCAGGAGGCCGGTGGCATAGCAGGGCACCCCGTGGTCAGGCCAGCTGGTGAAGTGGAACTGACGGATCTCTCGAATCTCGTGGTGGCCCTTCTGAGAAGAAACAAAATGGCTTAAATTGGGACATCTACAGTCGACTTCCTGGAAACTGTGGGCTGACGAAACAAAATGGAGGCTCAAATGGAGACAAATGGTGCATTCATGACAAGTTGGAAACTCCAAGTTAAAATGAACATAAGTTATTTGTGTATAGCTTCCTATTGATTCTGATACTTTCCAAGTGGGAAACTGGTGCCTCCTCTTTCTACAACAAGTTTCCAAGTCAGAAATGTCAGAGTTTCCTGTACTTCCTGGAAACTGCGGGCAGACTAAACAAAATGGAGGCTCAAATGAAGACATATGGGACTTCCTGGAAACTGTAGGTCTGACAGGCTCCCATTCCAGCTCAACAACTGAATATACAGTAGCTATCGATTTGTTTATTTTAAGAAAATGCATTTTGACGACTTGAGCATACGGGCAAGTATTGAGGGGGCCAAAACAAAGGTGATTTGATAACTGGAGGCCTATTGATTTCCTTTCCTTTGATGTTGAAATTACATTCCGAAATCAATATGATGTAAACATCTAAGATGTGAAACAACAAAGCCCAACATGCAGTAAATCACAGATTGGGAAAGAAGGTAGGTAGGGCCAAGCTCATGTTTACCATGGCAACGTGAACTCGGCAGAGTGGAAGGTAAGTGGTTCTCACTCTTAAAGGCACGTGGCATGATATTAAAATCCCACTCCAATAAGGATATCAGCGAAGGCAGCAGCACATAAAGGGAGTGGATGTGCGGAAACTGGAAAGTGGCCATTTACAGAACAACGCTGGGCTACAGTAGTAATAATAATCACAGGCTTCACACCTCCACTCCCTGTGCTAATGCTAAGCGGTTAATTGCCATTTGGGTTGGTGAGCTGTTTAATCCCTGCCTGCCAGCTTTGATATGCCAGCAAAACCCACATAACAGTTTAATACCGCAGTTAAAATACCTTCACTGTTTGGAGTGTATGGACACATGGGTCGACGGATCCACTATTAAAGGTGGTAACAGTGTAAAGCGGGGGTAAACTGTGTCTAAGCTTGCCAAACCAGTGGGCTCTGGTTTATCATATTCTTCATGGATTAAAGTGTGAGTGTGAGTGTGTGTGTGTGCGGGCCTAAATATCTATCTATCTGCGTGGTGTAGTAAAATAATCCCCTTGGACTCATCATTAATAATGCTTTTCATAATTTCAGAACTCATTATTTGCTGCAATTAAAATGATTTAATACGCTCTATTTGAACGCATACGCATCCGAAGCGTGATCCCTGGCCATCACGGTGCACTGCTTTTTAAGGCCTGGGATTTAAGGTTGTGGTGTGATGGTGGAGTTTCGTAATGACAATGTCCTGTTTCCCTTTCAAATGAAGAGTGTGAGCAGGTTAAAAGGAAGTTAGCTCTCTTGCAAAACAGATGGATTAAAGCATTGCAAAATGAGTTGACTACAAGCTGTTGTGTTGTCTGCTTAAGCGGCTTTCACAGAGCCACAGAAAGATGCATTTCAAGCCTATCAAAGCTTGCTAGTTTCGTGACTGTTCCGCTGATATTTCCCTTTCAAAGGGAGCTAACAGAACAATGGCGTCGCATTCGGAATCCTGCATCCCAACTGAATTGTGCTTCTTTCAATGCAAATCCTCACTGATTACCAGTGTTCAATTATGCTCCCATTTCCCAGTTGGACAACATAGCTTCACCTTGCAGTCAACCACAATGTTAATCCGGTAGGTCGGAATTAATGACAACAAAACAAGCAAGCCTGGTTATTGACTTAGTCGGTTTACCTTCTGTACTGTGAAGGTGCGGATGACGTACTCGGCCAATGGCTCTGTCTCGATCAGTGTCACCTTGATATCTCCGTACACTTCAGTCTCGTCAGGCCAGTACCTCACACACTTCACCTGGGAAGAGAAACACACATGGTCAAATCTTTGTCTCTTAAAGAGGCTGTATGGTACTTTTGCCTTTGGGGGTGCTTTTGAGCCAAAAGGGGTCCCCAAAATAATATTATTAAACTTAACATTAAAGGACCAATCAGAGCAGTTAATAGCATAGAAATATAATCACATTATATTTCTGCGGTTGATAATACATACAAAGAGGCCCGATTTAGTGGCGTTGAATTTAAAAAAAATGGTCACATTTACATTTACATTTTAATCATTTAGCAGACGCTCTTATCCAGAGCGACTTACATGAGCAATTAGGGTTAAGTGCCTTGCTCAAGGGCACATCGACAGATTTTTCACCTAGTCAGCTCGGGGATTAGAACCAGCGACCTTTCGGTTACTGGCACAACGCTCTTAACCACTAAGCTACCTGCCGCCCCATTTGTTGTTGATTTGTTTTTAACTATTTGTTATCTTATATATTTGTTGTGAAAATATGTTCGTTGTGAACAGTAATGGTATGCGGTGTAGGGAAGGGGAATACGAGCTGTGATTGACACACCCTGACCTATTAAACAACTGGCTCTTGCAGCGGGGAAAGAAACACCACAGAAATCCATTCCGTATAAGAACGTTGACGGTTCTGCAATAACGTCACACGTTCTTAGCCGATTGGCAGTGTCCCCAGAGTAGTACTGTTTTAACAAATCCTCTTTGATGAACTCACCCTGCCCACTTCCACCAGGTTGGTAACCATGACGATACTGCCGGAATTCTCCTGCCAGATCATCCTCCAGAAATCTCTCACCGTCTCCTGCATGGGGCCTGAAAGGAGAGAAGGAGAGCAAGGATGAGATCAAGAAGGATTGGACAGAGATAATGTCATAACAGAAACCAGGAAGTACACATAGGAGCAATGACTGTATACATGAACGGACAAAGCCATCAATCACCTGTACCATGTGTACACTCATGTGTTTCTTAATGCTGGTCCTGGGGACCCAAAGGGGTGCACATTTTAGTTTTTGCAAAACACACCTGATTCAAATCATCAAAGATGATGATGAGTTGACCATTTGAATCAGCTGTGTAGTCCAGGACCAGGATTAAGAAACACTGCAGTAGAGCATTGAAGCCAAATTAAGTCGGTAAAGATGGAGTCTCAGGGTGACATAACATACGCAGTTTGAGCTACTCCAGGAAGTGACATTGCAGGTTAGCTCAGTGCTTCCACCTCTCATTGAGTAACTCAAGTTGATGGCCGACTGGGGTACTGCAAGCTGCCATTAGCAACTAAATGATCCTTATAACTTGTGCGATTTTAAAATAATCAGTTCAAGGACATACATCTGGTGTATTAGAAGCAATTATTGGTACCATTATTGTCTTTGAATTATTATTATTTTTTACACAAAGATTGACCACAAAGATTGCACATTTTCCATTCAATATAATGGGGATCCTCCTGTCTTCTGCTAACAATGCCTGCAGTACCGTGGTTGGCCTTGAACTTCCGTGGCGTCAATGAGAGGGGGCAGTCGTTCTCCCCTGCATAATGTTAAAATTGTGTCATTCGGGCCGCTGCCAAAATGGTACCCTATCCCCTAAAATGGCACCTTGTATCCCCTATATAGTGCATTACTTTTGACCAGAGCCCCCATTGAATTCCCAATGCAGTTATAATCCTAAAGAATCTTGAGATTTATGACATCACTGTCTCATCCTTACTCGGTCGCATTCCCCTGCTCAGATGTTGCATGCATCAACCAATGGTTGCGTGCCATGTCATTGACTGTGTCATCGACTGACAATTTGCTATAACATATTATGTGGTTAGCTGATACTTAAAATACCTATCCAGGCATTGTAAGATCTGTCAGGCGTCAGCAACGTCTGAGCAGAGGAACGTGCCCTTTATCTGATGCACAACCATGCCCAGGATCAATTAAAGATAAGCCTCGGTTTGTTATGGAACTAAATGGGGTCTTACATTTTTGTCATTGGCTTTAAGAGTGGGTTTTTTTCTGAGTAATTGCCTCCCCCACGACTGGGGAAACTTTTGTTTCCCCATGTGTCTTCTGTCTTACCAGCCCTCCCCCTCCATCCAATTTAATTACCTTGTGTGGCGATGTAATGTCTTGGTCTATGATACCCCTGTGAGAAGGAGAAGAGAAAAAATAAAAACCTCAGGCGTACTTTAACAAGGTCCTTTCCAAATCAGATCAAATCAAATCCGAGACCCTTCATTTTCCTATCCGCCAAAATGGAAATTCTGTCATATTGTTCCATCGAGACAGATCGCTTAGTTCAAATGAATACAGTATATACATTTCTTATCGTTAATAGGACATTGCCATTTCACCATATCTAGTGGGAACGTGCGTGAAAAAAACATCTTCAAATTCATTACTATTACAACCGCTGTGAGATAAATTAAGAATCAACACAGTTGAGGCTCCTAGGGCTAGAGCTGGGTATAACGAGACATTTTACCAGCAGATCTTGGCACATCGACCCAGTAATTGTTTTATTAGAGGAAATGGGGCTCGATGACATGATTATAGATACAGCTGTAATGCCATAATGCCGACTTATCCTGATGCTGCTTCTCGGAGTACAGGGCATTCCCAGTCCCCAAAGCATAATAGAGACAATCATATCTACACTGTCATTATGGTAGTTATGTCATTGCAGGATTCTTTCATCCGAAGAAGAGCAAATGCATGCTCAGATACGCTGTGTTTGCGGCAGATATGTCAATGTTACAGGCACATTGCCTTGTAATAAGCATATATGTTTTCTACTGTATATATCACCTCATATTTGTAGTCCATCCTTGCAAAATCAGTCTTCACTGACCATTCACAATAGTAATGCTTGTAGCATGATGTACTACAGTAACCATAATGCTCTATGCAATATTTGATTTTATCTTAGTAAAGATGTTATGATGCGAAATGCTGTCTCATCTCCTTACTAATACATGGTGTCAGAAGGCTAAATGAGGCCTTTTATAAAGTCAAATACAAAAACATTCTGATAAATAGTCCATTCCCTTCACGTCTCCGCCGCCCCATACTTACGTCTATGTAGTTGGCGTTGATGTAGTCTGAGTGGGGGTCTCCGTCCAGCAGTTGCAGCCTGACTCGAGTGTGGTCATCTGTGGGGTCAAATATTCACAAAGAGCAGGCCTAAAGTTACATTTACCCATTTAAGGTACACACAAATGTCTGAGGACTACGGCTGCGTCCAAAATGGCACCCTATTCCTTACATAATGCACTACTTTTGACCAGGGCCCATAGGGCCCTGGTCAAAAGTAATGCACTGTATAGGGAAAAGGATGCCATTTGAGACGCAGCCTACATGTGCTACTACCACAGCTTATATGCTAAACACACCCTAGAGCGAGAGATCGATTTGCAGTATTTTAATGGCAAAATACCCATTTGTAGGCATATATTTTTTGTATTTTCAGTTGAGTTGACTCAACAAATCACAGCACAGATTGAAGGGTACACTTCCTGCTTTTACTTCCTGGCATGGATACACTCAAAATGGCTGCCAGTCCACCCATTATGCCATCATTGACTTGAATGGAGACTCTCTTTCTATTCATTCTTATTTCTATGTTTGTAGGTACCGTAGGAGCATTGTCACTCTGCATAGTACATTAAACTCATGGGAAGGATTAGAGAGACATGTACTGCGTTTCATCAGCGAGACGATTTCCATCTCAAAATTGCCAAAAGCGCAACTAGGTCTGTACACACAGAGCACATTAATAATCTCACTGCACGATTGAATTAGTTACTTCAACCACAACATCTACCTCTCTCTCTACAAACACATTTGACATGTGAAATCTTGAGCTGGACTCCACAGGGCTTCCTCTTGGCAGTTATGGGAGTGATGGCGATGGCGATGGTCACAGAGGACCCTGCCCACACAAGTGTTCCCCGTGCAGGCCTCCAGGCTATAACACTCATACGCCTTGAACACCATACACCTCAAGCACAATCTCAATAAAGACATCACTAGCCCAGTCCTCATACGGAGGGGTTGTGAACTGATTACTGATTTATGCTACTGATTTCTCATCTGAACTCTTTTTATAAAAGTTTGGTGCAGGCTTGTTAACTTTGGGCGAAAGCTTGAACTTTTCTAGAACTTGAATTCTGCAGAGCAGCTTGGACCATATGTGACTTGTTTCAATAAACTAGGCGTATGTTGCTCGTTACTACTTCAGAGGAGCGCCATTTGAACGTTATTTAAATATTTTTTTATCAGAAAGGCTTTCTGGAACATGTGAAATTTCATGTTCCTTAATAACAAACGTGTATGCCATCTGTAAAAACGAATACAATTGTTAAATTACGAGCCTAGTTGGTTTAGCCATGGAAAAAGACAGCAACCTCCCCGCTAGCCATGATTGGCTGAGAAAATGAGTGGGCTGGACATGCCGAGAGATGAGTTCGTATTGGTCTGCCATGTAGCGCACTTCTGTCTATAATATGAGCTGGTCAGTATGTGTAGGTAATCCTTTCTAACGCAGCTTTTTTGAAAGATATCACGTAGTAGAACTGCATAAGCATTGCTCTCCACTTTCTGGAGGACCGATTTTTGAAATCAGTGGAATTAGAGTATAATTGCTAAGGAGATGGAGAACATTCTGGCGTTTGATTGCAAATATGCAGACGGAGTCGAAAAGAGAACACACAGAAGGCTCCGGATTACATCTTCAAACTAAGGGCAACCATGGCATCCGTGACAGAGAGGGAGAAGTGTCCATCCATGTATACAGGTAAGAGAGTCTAGCTAGTTAAATTTTCAGATATTACACATGTATTGTTAGCTAGCTAGCTAATGTTAGCTGGCTGGCTAGCTAGCTAAGGTTACATGTATGATCTGTGTAGTAATATTATTCGTATCGCAGAACCATTTGCATTGCTAGTTATAGCCTGATGTTAGCTTGCTAACATTGAACATGGTTGGTTAGCTACCTGCAGATTCATGCAGGGTAGTAACGTTATGGTTATGGTTAATTGTTTAGCTAGCTAGCTAGCTAGATACATGTCTAAACAAAAGACTCCAAAATGCAAGTAGTTATTTCAATATAATGTTTATGATGTCACTGAGACAACTGTCGATAGAGGTAGCTGGCTATCTACTCCGATTTAGGAGTATTCTCATCTGAGTGTGCCAGAGCGCAGAATAACTGACAAAATTACGAATGCTCAACATCCGTTGAATAAGGGCGGTGTCAGTAAATGTTGGCAAAACGCTCAGAGAGCGAAATGCTCTGAATTTACGAATGACCATTCTGACAATGCTCTGAGTTTACGAATACCCAGAGCACAGTCTGGAACTCCAGATTAAATTTACGAACACACCCATAGTATGAGCCAGCCTTTAGTCTTGAAATCTTTGGTTGTTTAGTACATAGCCTCACATGTGAATCCTTAAAGAGTTGGGTAGGGCTAATGCTTAAAAGGGTGTGAACGATGCTGAATGGGTGTAGACAAAGAAGAGCTCTCCAGTAGGTACCAAAACATTCAAGGGCCATTTTCTCAAAATTGAGGTTACAAGTTTATCAACTTTCAAAGCAGAATTACTTTCCCATTGTCACTCAACTGTAGTGTATTTTCTAGCTCTGAGTCTCTACTTTTATCCAATGTAAAAAACACAATTTCAAATTTTGCTACATAAGACCAAATCGAGAAGGTTGGTCACATATGAACTTGAGTAGGAGGCATACAGTGGCTTGCGAAAGTATTCACCACCACCCATTTTTCCTATTTTGTTGCCTTACAAACTGGAATTAAA